TCTTCTTTTCCCAGTGTATTATACCCTGTACATAACAGTGTAAATGTTTATCGACGACTTACGGAATCATACGATAGAAGGAGCACTTGTAATTTTCGTAACGACGGATGGGTGGATTGGTGGATGGTGTTTTCTTTTGCTTCTTTTTTTAAGTTACACGTAGCGTACATACGTATAGATATGTTTGTGACAGGCACGTTAAATTACAAACTGATACGCATAATTGCGATGAAAAATGTAAACGTGTCGCTTAGATTGCTGAATGACCTACACTTTTGTACTACGTAATAATTATTGAGTTGTCGATACCAGATGTTTTAGAATTCAATTAAACGATTATGTTTGGAAAACATTACGATTTTATGACTTTTGGCAGTTTTATCAACCTTTCAAATTTGTTAATCCGGAAATTCGGCCATGAAAAAATGTCAGAAAACTAAATTATTTCATCTATCCAAATATTTTTGCAAACAGATGTTCTTTCATTGCCCAATCATAGAAAACATTAAATCGCTTTAGTCGGTTAAACGACGAACACAAACATTGTTAATTAAGTGACACGTTTATTTTTATCGGCGTAAACCATATCAATCACAAAGTTTTTTACATTGATAATTGAATAAAAAATAAAAAGGTAAACCAAACAGCAGGTATTGTAAAAGAAGACGATGCAACAATTCGTTCATTGATCATCCACTGTCGCTGTATGATGCGTGCCTGACGGTGTGGGTGAATCTTAATACTGTTAATAGATATACGTATCTAATGTTATTAATTATTAATTAACGTTTGATTTGTAACGAACGAGGACACGGAATTTTAGAGGCTCGCGCGAGTCCTTTTCATCGCTTCTCACGTGACACCTGTTTTCTACGATCACGCGAACCAGTTTCTATCATTTTTCTAAACAAATCACACAAGAAAAGTTATCGAAAACCACAAAAATATGGACATACATACACGCGAACCAGTTGCGATTCTCGCGAGGTTCTTGAAGAAGCCTCTTGCATTCTGTGTCCGTACAGACCCTACTAATAAACGCCATAGTGGTCTGACAAGTAATTGGCTCGAATAAATTAAATTTAATTTAACAATTGTCTGCCTCATGGTTGCATGATTTCTTTTACCACAAAACCAACCAATCAACAATTCCTTACCGTCACCATTCCTAACGTCCTTTCACCTCGATGTCTTCTTGCGTTTCCATTTATTTCTTATTACTACCTAATACACATTTATTGAGAAGTACAATTTCCAAAGAAATGAGCAGAGAACTGAATGGAACGAAAAGCGGAACTAGTTATATCACATTTCGCAATTGGGGATTGATGAAACACATTAGTAATTGTTAATGAATCTTTTGGACATTTGGTTCTCATCAACAACTATTCCTTAGTAAGAAATGAAACGTACGGTTTATATAAACGAGTAATGATTTATTGGATTTACAAGTATAAATTTATATATTTTGTGTTAGTCACAATGTTTTATGTTATGGTTCGAATCGTTTTTAGTTTCTTGTTGAACAATCATGAAAACACAGTGTGTTCCGGAATGTACGACTTTAATTTAATAATTATCTGATTCATCATAAAAAAGAATGAAATTCTGAATTAAAAGTTATTCTCCCACTTTTTCTTACTTCTACCCACTATTAACAAAGTTATTAATGTAAAATGTGAACCAATAACGTGTCCAAGTATAACTGTTGCAAAATGGAAAATTACTGCATAGCTTCGAGTGACCGTTGTCCGTGACCGGTTCACTTTTTTCGTTAATAACTCTGATAGTAGCGGTTGGAGGAAAAAGTGGAAGCGGAACTTTTTACTCAGAATTTCATCCTCTCCAAAGTCGTGCATTCTGAAACGGTTTGTATAGAATCATCACCCTCTCGGTTACATCACTAGTTACCGATCATACTGTATGTAATAATAGTTCATTGATTCACGTGATTTGTTAGTCACAGTAATGGATATTGTAATTTGTAATAGTTATTAAAATATAAATATGATAGACTAGTACCGCACAGTGCACACAGTACTTATCTTCAATTAAAAAGACGTCTGAAAATGATTAACACATTCTCTAATGACAAAATGTTCTAAAATGTTCACAAAACTTAAAAAATCTAAAGATTGTCCTAGCAACAAATGAGAAAAAAAAATTATTGATTCTTCCTGATTAATTTCTCTCTACGGGAATATATCGGTATTAGCCGGTTCATCGGTTTCTACGTCGACTATGGGAGGTAATGTATCGCATCGTTTTCGTACGTACGTGTTTCAGTTTATTTATTAAATTATCGTTTGACACAGGTTATCGTGTATGTCGTACAGTGAGAGTTGTGTGTATGGGCAATATAGTACCTATCTATAATATAATAATAGAAGTAGAATTAAAGTTAATCGGTTTAAATACAAGTGCGATGCGCGCGACCTAAGAGGCGTAAGGACAGATAAGACAGTTTAATTTACGTCTCGCTTTATTTTCATCATTCATTTATTTATTATATATATTGTGTCAAGTCATCCCATGAATAATATAAATATTGTAACAAATTGGAAGTAAAATAGGGGAACGTATTAAAAGACGGAGCGGAAAAGACACGGAGAACGCCAGATCAATTGAAACTTACTGAAGAATAGAGAAGATTGTATAAATGTTTGACTTTTACGAAGAAATGTAACTTGTTACAATTTTTAAGAATTAGTAAGCATTTACATTACTCATAGGATGACCTGATAGTTCGTTTCGATTCCTTACGCTTCGTGATTCTGAAATTAACAGATATAAGGAAGATATAACGAATCATTGTTAACTTTTTCATCGGTATATATTAATGTAATATGTACGTGTGTATATATTTTTGCTTGTTCGTTTATTTAAATTATAGTTTCTTTGAAAATAACGATGATTCGCGTTTTTCTTTTTGTGATGAGCAATTTTGCTTTCTCCACGGTGCTTTTTGCCTTTTTGATTCGTTGCGACGGGTACCGCTTCTCGTTGGCTGAATCTTGAATTTACGGCGGGTCGTTCGACAAACATTTTAAAGAAGGTGACACGATTTCCACATTGAAAACATGTTCCTCTGATGTTCGCGGGACAACCCGTTGAAAACTCTAGTCAGCCTTTTCAATAATTTATGATGATATACCGAAGCTCTTCCTTTTATTCGTCGTTTGTTCATTACACCTGTAATTTTATAAAAGGAAAACTGAAATCGAACGTTCGCTGTTTACTTCGCATATCAAGAATCTAGATAAGTCTGTATTTCTGAAATATTTTCGATACTAAAGCTGCGTCTCATATCTTCCTTTTATACAGTGTATGTTTATAAAAAAATTCGATAAAACAAGATATAAATGAATCTATCATAATTCAATTCATGTTTCATCAGTCGAATGAGATACGTACGTTTCTAAAGACGACAAGGTGGCGTTCGAAGTGGTAAGGGGTAGATGGTCGATGACGATGGGATTTTTACAGGTCAGACCTCGTCTCCTGGACGAGGTACACCTGAGAACCGGGCACGGTGGAGGTGGTGACGAAGCTGCGGTGTTTCGCACGGATTAGGGTCAAGTTGCTCTCGGCCGTATCGGCTCGGTCCTCAGCAGCCTCCAGTTCCCTTTGGAATCGGCGGACCCTGGTCACGCTCTGCTGGGACATGCCTTCTTGTTCGTTCAGCTGTCGTTTGTATAGATTCACCTTCTGGACGGCCTTGTCCAGAGACTCTTGCAGCAGCGCGATGTTCTTCGAGTCTTCCTCAACCTGGATCATCACTTCCTTGATGTTGCGCTCCTTTTTGCGAAGGATCTTCACCGTTTCGGAGTGTCGGCGTTTCTCTTCGTCGAGTTCAAGCTCCAAGTCGCGGATCTGCAGCGTTACAATATTCACTTACGACATGTTTTCTGATTAAATTTTTAGAAGAATCTTGTATCATGTCGAAATGTAACAAGAAACATTTAGTTTTTCAGCAAAAAGTTTTAATCAACACATTTGACTAATCTGTATTCTTTAAATATTTATTTAAATGAGACAAAAGAAATCTTACCCTAGCCTCGAGTTTGCTGATAATGCGTTTACCACCGACGATAGCGTTGGCCTCAACTTCCTCTAATCTCACCGACAGGTTCTTCACCTCTATTTCGAGGGACTTCTTGATGGCCTCGATCTTCACGATGCGCTCTTGTTCCTCATGAAGGATTTCGACAGTATGTTTGAGCTCGACCTGCACTCGCTGGTATCTCTCGTCGCTGACTTTCAGTTCCTTGGTCACTTCCTCGTAGTCACCAGCGAGGGTAGCCAATTCTTGCTCGAGTTTCGCCCGTGACGACGCGATGTTCACGTTTATGGTGGTTAGCTCGTTAATGCGGCTAACCGCCTCCTCGTATTGCTGCTCGACGGTTCTCTTCGCACGTAGGGCCTTTCGGAATATTATTAATTATAACATGTTCGTAAAATGTTTAAAACGAATCCACAAATATATTTATTAAAAATTGCGAAGTGCCTCACAGATTCGTAATTGCCGCGGACTTCCTCGAGCTCAGCCGTCAATGATTGCAAGCGTCGTTGACTGATGCCCAGTTGATCCAAAGTTACTTGTAGCTGACGTTGAACTTCGTCGTAGTGGGCTTGGAGTTCCTAGAAACCGACAAACAGATATATTAGAAAACGCGGTATATGCCAATTTGACAACCACCTGTCAGCCATGGATTTCGCAAGAGCTTACAGGTGGCTGACAGTTCAATATATCAAATCAGAAAAAAAGTCAATTATCTTTAAGAGTAAGAAATTGTATATAACAACTCTAATTAATTAGTAATTTAAAAAATAAATGCACGTTCTTCCTTGGAGGCATCTGAAATTTTACTGGCTTGTTATGAACATTAGTTTGTCAAGAAGAAGAAAATGTTGAATTTTGACACTAGGAGAATCGTTTATGCGTGATTGCTGTAGTAATTAACTTACGGTCAAAGTAAGCGATTGCTTCTTGATGGTCTTCTGCAGATCGATGTTGTTCTTATTGGCAACGTCCAGGGACAATTCCAGCTCGGTGATCTGGATCTGCAGCTTCTTCTTTATGCGCTGCACTTCGGTCTTCAGCTTGGTCTCCGCCTCGACCACGCGGGCGTTCAGCTGCTCGATCTCGATACTGGTCTGCTTGCTAATTTATATTTCGATTCGCATGAACATACGAAACGAACATCCGAATCAATTTTAAAAGGTCTCACAATCGGATTATTGTTTCCAGGCGACAATAGCTACATTTTCAATCTCTCTCTCCTTGCAAGGTACCAATCTGTTGGTGAACACTCAAGGGAACATTTTACCATTAATGTATTTAGTAAAAACGACTGTTAAATTATCGATGATCTAGAGGTTTCATCGTGCTGTGCCTCTTTCGATGCTGGGTTAGTCAGGATGGTTCGATGCATAGTTAGTTTGGCAACGGATGCAGTGGATATTACCGTTTGCATTATCACAAGTGGAGAGTCTATTTATGTAACCAAGAAGATGCACGTTCAGTGTTCTGTGTCTCCTATTTAAAAGTGAAATGATCTATGAATTAAAATCAAAGAATACAGTTTCTTAATTTATGGAAAATCTCGATGACAAAATTAAATTAGATGAAATGAAGAATAAGAAAAAAATAAACTGAAGAACTAAATTGATCAGTGACCTGTGTGTCACTTTCTTATGTGAAGAAAGTGATCGTTTTGCACAAATGTACGTCGTAACTGTCTTCTGCGCTGGTAAAACATAAGGCAATGAAAAAAAACTGAAAAATCTTACGTAAGTATACACGTTTAATCAGCTATTCTACAATTGTGTAATTCGTGAGGATCAAACGACAGTGTATTCGATTATGTACTTCTCATTTATCGTTTATTCTCTTCGTTGTTTCGTGTCACATTACTCTTACCCACACAGCTACTAATCTACTAAAATATCCATCCTCTTATCAAATCATGCGGGCCTGATTCCCAGGCATCCGTATAATCGTCTTGGTCTGGTCGGGTGTTGATACCTCTTGTCCAGGAAGTAGTTGCTCGACTTCTCCTCGTACCCTCGCAGCTCCTTGCTCAGGCAGTTCAACGGCGCGGCCAGCCTATCCTCGTCGATCAGATCCCTCGTCCTCTCCTCCATCATTCTCAGATGGTTTCTGGTATCCATTATTAAATTCGCGGCGCGATTCTCTCTCTGAAATTTCCTGATATCGGCCAATTCTTGGCTCTTGCTCAAGTTCTTCAGCGCTTCCGCCCTTAAATGAAACTCGATCGCTCTCGCCGATTTTCCGCGAAGACTTCTCCCGTGGTCAAGGGCGCTTTGCACCTCGGACATGTTTTGCACGTCCCTCAACGATTGAAAATCGATATCGGCCATTTCTCTTTGGATTTGTCTAGCCTCGGACCTGACGCGCGCACTGTCTACGAGTAACGGTAATGGCTGCAAACGAATCTGCTCTAATCTCCGCGGAAACACCTCCCTCGTCACGTGGCTGGCTTGCGCTGTCTTCGATAAGCTGAAGTCCGATCGGTTCGCTATCTTTGGACAGGCGAAAGCGGACTGTCAAATAAAACTCCGATCTCCGGTGTTCGCGTTTCCGCCACGACTATTAACTCGATCGATGAAAGACACCGAGAAGAAGAGGAGAAGGAAAAGCGGTCACGGGTCGTAGTTTCCGCGAATGACGCGACCCTCCCTAATCCGATCGTTCTTTAGGCGGTCGAGCTGAGCCTAAACTTAGCAGCAGCGATCCAAAATTCGAAAGTGACGACCGAACCGCACTCTCGATCGACTCTCTCTAGAGACTCGAGGACGACTGCCAATCCAAGGCGGACTGCCCGGCTCCCTGGGTCGCGAGATGGATATATTTTCTTTTTTCTTTTTAATACAATGCAACGCCAGACTTGGCAGCTTCGTTGCTCGCTCTCAATCAGACTTGTCGTTGCGTCGGCTCCGAACGATCACAACTGCCAAACGTGTACCGACTTCCGCGATATTTTCATTTCCTTCTGCAGTGATATTGAACTCGCGAAAGTAGGATCGACGATAGCGTTCGTTGGACGGTATTAATAACAATAAGCGATTTAGGGATTTCCCTGGATTTCGTATTACGTCGGAGATATTCTGCCAATGGCTCGCTGGGATCGCGTTAAATTAAGACCCCGGCGACAGAGAGGCGGCGGTTAGGGCGTCACGGGCTCGAGTTATTGGACCGAATTATAGAATAAAATCTTCTCAAAGGTAACGTGATAGGCTGCTATTTTAAATGATTGTTCCCGATCCGAATTGTCGATGACGTTAACTAACATTTATGATATCGTTCAAGGTTGGAGGCGATATATCATGCTAATAATAAACGTCGCACGAACAGTCGCTTATGCTAATCAAAACAAAAAGATTTATAATCAGAAACATCAATTGTAGAGGCGAATGGAATATATCTGAATTTAATTTTAATTTTTGTATGCAATACGTAGCCAGATAGAGTTACTGTTATTGAAGATAATGCCAATTGTTGCGATACGTATACATTGCACAGATGTTGTTTTCGATGCAGACAGTAACAGTGGTAAAAGCAATTCACTGACAATACATCGAAGAAAACAAGTTGTACGAAAATATTTCTATGACAAGAACTCTATCACAATTTCATTGAAACTACTATTCAAATCAATTTCTCCTTCCATTCTCAACGAAATACGTAATGCAATGTTGAACGGTATGTGTCCAATATAAATCGTGCCACATACGAAACCCTAACTCGAATCACAGATTCCGTTTAAATGATTACAATCGATTCTCAGCGACCGTGACATTCCTCCCGAGAAGAATTCATTCTTACATCGATTCGATTGACACGGGTGAACATAAGGGATGCGAACAGACGCGCCAAGCATTGTACAAAGTCCGGATCGAGGAGGTGCAGCTTTCTTCCGCGGCGCCAAATTTAGCGAACGAAAGGTCAAACTGTTGCGGAAGCGTCTGTCGCTTTTCCACGCACCGATTCTAGCTTTCACTTTTCCATTTCTCAGTTTATATAATACGTATGTAGTTTCGAATTTAACGAAGTCATGAATGACGTTCATTGATACTTATACTGAATAATTCGTGAGAAAATTAAAAAAAATTAACTTAAGGAGGTCAGCCTTGCATATAATGGATAATACAAAGTGATTTTCCTCTGAGGTTGTGAGAGAAGATGAAATTGTGACGATGAGTCAAAAGTTCCTCCTCCATTTTTTCCACCGATTGCTATTAACAAAGTTATTAGCATTAGAAAAGTGGAGCAATAACGTTAGATGCACAATTACGGTCACTCATAAATAGCACGAAGCCCTGCCCCGCCGTCTTTCACTTTGTAACAATTCTACTTCGACACGCCATTGTTTTACTTTTTTCGTCAATAACTGTAAGGTGGTTTATTATGATGGCGGCGAGATAAGGCAGAATGTCAATGTTCGAAGTTCACCCACTTAAGGGAAAAGTGAAATAGCAACTTTTCACTCACAATTTTACCCACTTTCACACCCTCAAACGAAAATCGTGTACTCTAGAAAACCCTGAATTTAGGTCAAATCTAGTTTAAATTGAGATCTCGTTTAGTTTAAAAAATATTGATTTGGAAGTGACTAAATTTCCAAGCTTTTTCCCTTATGCTTTTAACTCTAATAATCATAGTATAAATGTACATATTGATATTCTTATTACAATTTCAGCAAATCAGTTTCTGCTACCTTGAAATGAGACAAGTGATCCCTGGCTTCGTCCTCGGCATCGATCGCTCGCTGGATTAGCTCGCGTCTTGAATACGGTTCCACAGGCTTGTTCGCCCATAAGGCCCTGCCATCTGACCAGGGTAATTCCGGGGGTTCCGATCGTCCCCGTACACGATAATCGCGCGGTGACGTCGAAGATCGACCTTCGCGGTCAATATAGCTGAGCATCGGCTGATAGAAATTAATCCCATAGTTATAATTCGTATCGTAGATGTAGGTGGGCCAATGTTTCCACTTTGGTTCGGTTGGGATGTACATTGGCGGCGTGATGCCAGCCATTTTTGCTTGATGCTGTTTCTCAGGTTTCTTTTAGTCCTTACAACTTGGGGAATATCTTTTTTAAAATTTCCTGATCTCCTTAATAAATTTGTTGAAATTTTTCCTTCAAATAAGCCAGTTTAGTGAGAATTTCCATCTAGCCCAAAACTACACGCGTTTAAATAATTGTTCTTCGTTTTCGTTGAAAAAATTTTGTCAACACTGTTTATCTTCTGTTCACTTCTGCTTCCGACCGTTACACTCAACGACTATACAAATATCGATCTTCGAGGGTTGGCGGGTATTTTTTCGAGTATTTGGGTGAGTTTTTATTAAGGTTTCATCCAACATCTACCTTGAATAGAAAGGATTGTATGTTTCAATTCTTGCAGGGTTAAATGTGTTAGATACGGGGTTTCACTCTAATAAGGAAGTTTTCGATTTTCATTCTACTACAGAGGATTCGATGATTTTTACTCACAAGTCTTTCATAGTTGGACGGTCCGTAGGGGACATTTGACATGGAACGATCGTGAAAAATTGGACCGGTCAAATGCGCTGGTATCTTTTGTAGCTTTTTCTTACGATTGCCACATTGGGAACGGCCAATCAGCACCTCTCGGCTAATAATTGGATCGTGACTGATCGATGCTGAGCGATGTTTATTAATAGTCCGATTGCGCACTGTTCGCACATCACTGATTCATAGTTGAATTAATGGCCAAAACGCAATGATGCCTATCGGAGATTTCATTCGAAATCGTTGGATGTTCCAGTTGATTTTTTATAAAAATCATGAAATCGTTTTCATCATATAAATCTCAACAATAATAACAATATTCCGTAAGAGAATGTAAATATCCATTCCCTCTTCAATTTAATCATTTTTGTTTTAATTTTGTATTCGTCAAATGTATTGTCCAAATATTTGGAATTCTTTGTTATTTCGTCTCCTTATCCATATTATTATACTTTATCGTATATAATTATCGTTGATTACTCTTCATACCATGCAATAATTTCTTCTTTTTATAATTATTCTTCATACCACAATTTTTCTTTACACATATTCTTTATAAACTCCATTCATGATGACATGATTGATATATCCTGTGTTTGGCATCGAGCACTAAGAAGAGCCGAGCCAAGAAAAAGTAACCGTCGTTCATATATTCATCATCCGATGACGATTCGCAACTTGGCAATCTGACTCGCGATTTTAACATCTATACTAATCTATACGCTTGAATAAGTAGATAATTAGATCACAACAGGATGTTCCCTTGAACGTCTAACCGATAGGGAAGACACTTGGGTGATTAATCGATGCTATTGATCGATGATAAAATTAATCGAGTCTTTATTAATAGCCAGCAGTTGCTTTCGGTGATCATACCGGAAATAAAATCGGTTGCATCACGAATCGCTGATAAGCATTAGAAATTCTTATTCGCTGTTTTCACTCAGTCTCGTGTTTGTTCTAATTCCAAGTGAAATGCATTAATATTTAATATGTTTTAATTAGCAGTTATGTGATATAAATTAATTGCATCATGAATTTTAACATGAGCGAATGAGCAAGAGTGTGGCAAACTACAAATCATGTGCAACAAATAGGATGAAAATTTTGTATTTTTAGATTAATTATAGTCAATATATATTTTCTTGTAAGTCTTCATAATTTTTATTGTACGATGTTAGTAAATTTCATGCGTGTTGAGAAAAAGTTGTTTTGTTTAGTGACTTAAGTCTTAACTTAATTTTAACTTTATGATTTCTGTACACCAGCTGCTTTTAAGAAGTACGTAAAAAAATATATAGTAATAGTTCAATATGCGCGTGGAGAGAATATTAAATTATTATCGTCTGGAAACAATTTTCTCTAGTGGATGAAATAACAGAATTTATAATAATCAATTCGTGAATGTACTTACCGGATGATTTCGATTTCTTCATCCTTTTCAGTCAAGCGGCGCTCGTAGTCGTGACGAAGCTGAGTAATTTCGGCGGACAATCTCTGTGCTCGTTGTTCCTCAATCTTACGTCCCTGTAATAAATTTAATTATCTTAGGAACTGTGTCATTGCAAAAGCCGTGAAACATATTTTCATACAAAACATTTTAATTTTGCAACGAGTATAAGTAGACTTTCACTTACTGCTTCAGCTTCTTTGTAAGCGGCAGCGAGTTCTTCGCGTTCATTTTCCAGACGACGGAGCTCGAGTTCCAGTTCGTGAAGTCTGCGGTTCATGTCGGCTAGCTGGTTCTTGGCATCGTTCAAATCGTCTATTAACAATTAAACAAAAAAATGATTTTTTTGTGTAATTTACGTGTCATATCATCGTGTATATTAGATACATCACAATTCATAATTTTAAGAATCATAAACCTGATAAAACATGCTTTTTATGCTCATTTCGAAAGTCACTGACTAATAAGATGTAGAATTATTGCTTACCGCCTAATTTCTTGTTCTCGCGAGCGAGTTGGTCCTTCATTTCGCGAGTCTTGTCCAGTTCGGCATTGGTTCGTTGGAGTTCCTGTTGTTTGTTGCGGAGATCTCGTTGGCTCTGCTCGTACATCGCAACAGTCTCATCCAAGCGGGACTTTAGTTCGATGTTGATCTTCTCCAAATGTTCCACGCGTTTTTGCAATTCCCGAGCTGTTCCGTTTGCCTTAAAAATATTGTAGTAAATAGTAATGAAAATTCGTATTAGGTACAATTCATATTATAAATTTTGGCTTTTTTCCAAATCAGTTCAGTATGTTACAAGTAAACTTTATAAAATTTTCAAGATTTCAAAGAAATAACGAAAAAAAGTATTTTAATACAATTATTTCAATTCTAATAAAGATCGGTGAGTCTACCTTTTCTAAATCGATGATCAGAACTTCAACTTCAGATTGGAGGCGAGATTTCTGCTTCTCAAGGTTGTTGATCTTCACGAGCAGGGTTTCAATCTGCTCTTCCTGTTCCTGAATGCGTGCACCGTATTTGCGGCGCAGTTCCTCAACCTATGAAATTAAATGAGAAATACGATTAAATGTTTACTCGATAATATAACTAATGAAAGTTTCACAATTTTAATTAATTGTTTGTTTAATTATACCTCTTCGGCGCGAGCGTTAGCTTCGGTCTCATATTTCGATCTCCAGATTTGTACCTCGCCATTCGCTTTGACCAATTGGCGTTCAATGTCCAAACGTGCTTCAGACTCCTCTTCAAGTTGAATGCGCACAGATTCCAGTTCTGATTCGACCTGTTGACAATCATTGTATGAATTATTTTCACCATTTTGTATTTACCGTTAAGGGAACTAGGTTTTTATCATTTTAGAGGACTTTCAGCTTTAAAATTGATCTTTAACACTAGACTGCCGGAGCGAGTCAATTTGACTCATTTTTCAAGACTCGAAGTTGAAGTATCATGCAAAAGAAATAAAAGTAAGGGCGCCTGTGCTAAATGTAATACAAAAATCTACGGAAAATGT